AAACATAGTATAAATTTTCATAGCTATGCTGACGACACCCAGTTATACATTTCTATTCCTTCTGACGATCAAGACTCTGTAGACAGACTGACCAGCTGTGTGTCAGATATTTCTCAGTGGATGTTGCAAAATTTTATATAATTAAATCATGAAAAAACTGAATTACTGATTTTTGATACAGAAACTCAGAGAAAAATGATTTTTGAGAAACTTGGTTCTTTAGCTTCATCTACCAAACCTGAAGTACCAAACCTGAGTGATCTTAGACTCTGAGCTCTGTTTTACCCCACATGTAAACAGTCACTAAAGCAGCTTTTTATCATTTAAGAAATGTCGCTAAAGTTCAGCCTTTTCTGTCTCAGAGCGACGCAGAGAAACCTGTTCATGCGTTTGTTACAGCAGAGTTGATCACTGTAATGATTTTCTTACTGGACTTCCTAAGAAAACTACACATCCCTTACAACTCGTACAAAACGCAGCAGCATCCTAACAAAAACAACACAGAGAGATCAGATCAGTCCCGTTTTGAAAGAGCTGCACTGGCTGCCTGTATCATTCAGGATAGATTTCAAGGTTCTGCTACCCGTCTTTAAAGCTCAAAACAACCTTAAAGCACCTCTTACATCACAGAGTGTCTGTCTGTTTATGTTCCAGCACGCAATCTAAGATCTGCAGATAGTGGCCTTCTACAGAGACCCTCTGTACAATACAGAAAACATGGAGAGACTCTTTCAGTTATTCTGCTTCTAAACTGTGGAGCTCAGTTCAGCTTTTATTAGACAGTCAAGCTCAGAGCTCACTTTTAAGAAGCACCTAAAAACGTCTCTCTTTAAATCAGCATTTAACTAAAACTGAACGTCTCGTGCTTTTTATCTTCTAATTTAATCTTCTTCATTTTCTTCTGATTCTAATTAAGCACTAATGATCTCTTCTATAACTGTTTTATCACCTGTCTGTAAAGCACTTTGAGCTGCCACTGGCATGAAAAGTGCTATATAAATAAAATTCATTATTATTATTAGTAGTAGTAGTATTTTTTATTATAATAATAATAATAATAATAATTATTATTATTATTATTAATAATAATATTATTATATAGAACCATTTACAACACATTCACCTTCAATCTGGAGAACGATTTCACCATGCAGAGAACCATTTAAGCAGGAGGTAGTTCTATATAGCACTCATGGTTCTAAACAGAACCATAACACAGTCTATGCTGAAATATCTGGAACTGTGCAGTTATTTTTGAAGTTTGAACTAATTCAAAATATTTAACTACATTTCTGATTTTTTTTTTATATTCAGTGTTTATTTGAGTTGAATTGAGAATAAAAGCAGTTTAACTGTTTGTTACTACATGAAGGTTCTTTTCACAAACAGGACAAACTTAAAATGACTAAAATTTAATGTTTTTTCAATATACAAACAGTGTTGCCTGGGTGACTAATTCAAAATAAATGTGAATGGATTTCACTGATTTTTTTTAAATTGATTTTTTTGTAACATTTTTGTGATTTAAGTAACCAAATTCTCATCAGTACCACAGCTCTGATAATTCTCTAATGATTTTTCACATCTTCTCATAATCTGTACACTACTGTCAGACTGCAGTATTTATAGCTGATTATTAATCTATACACTGAGGTTTTTCTCATTACTGTCACAAAACATGTGGCTTTTGTTTCGCATCCTCACAGTTTACGAGGAAATGATTAAATTAAAGAAATACAATGTTTAACCTCATAAAATCTGTCTTATTACAACCTAAGGCTTATTACTCAGTAACTACAAGAACTTCAGTGTAAACTGGCTGAGCTGATCTTTGATTATAGACGTGTGTAATAACACTCTCGGCCTGCGGGTGGGTTCTGACCATTTAAGAGGTTAAAAGTAATACAAACTAATTTTCAAACTCAATTAAAATAATTAATCGAATTAATCTAAAAATGGTGATTATCAGTCATAAACACAATGCGGTAATGAGAATTGGGTTAAAAACTCCACAAACTGTTTGCTGCACCAAGCGGAGCTCCAACTGATCTGCTAACTGACATGAATATTGTTTACCTTTATGATTATGACATATCTATAGATAGTGTGGTCATTTTTTAGGTTCTTTACAGGGCGGTGTTTCTTTTCTACTAAAACAGATTAAATGTCCCACTGAGCTGCAGGTTTATCCTCAATGTCATATCAAATTTATTAAAAATAATAGCAACATTTTATTTCACAGTGTGCTGAGTTCTAGGTATCCACCAGTTAACTATCAGGTGCAACTCTGAAGTAGTGTGTAATTATACTGGGTAAAATATGGTAATTCCACTGAAATCACTAACAGGTTCTAGATATTAAGGACGTGGTATAAAATCTCTGATATAATTGGAGTAATTAGGTGATAAATACAAAAACACTGACTAAATTTCACTGCAGTGTCACATTTAGGCAGGAATGTAAATCAGAACCTCCTTCAAGTAGCCGGTAAGTTATATGGAGTAAAATGACAAAGAACAAATAGTTTGTGAAGTAAACAGTAAGAACCCAGTAGAACCACAGTAAGGATCACTGCTTTCCAGATTCAGTTCAGTTTATTGGTAATAAACAGATGTTTTATTCATCGACAGTCTTTTACATCATATAACTACTAAAATAATTACACAGCACTGGAGTTTGTACCTCACACTTACCCAGGTGGTTGCTAAGGTGTTGCCAGGCTGTTGCTATGGTATCCCAGGAGGTTGCTAAGGTGTTGCCAGGCTGTTGCTATGGTATCCCAGGTGGTCGCTATGGTGTTGCCAGGCTGTTGCTATGGTATCCTGAGTGGTTGCTAAGGTGTTGCCAGGCTGTTACTATGGTATCCCAGGTGGTTGCTAAGGTGTTGCCAGGCTGTTGCTATGGTATCCCAGGAGGTTGCTAAGGTGTTGCCAGGCCGTGCCTATGGTATCCCAGAGGTTGCTAAGGTGTTGCCAGGCTGTTGCTATGGTATCCCAGGAGGTTGCTAAGGTGTTGCCAGGCTGTTGCTATGGTATCCCAGGTGGTTGCTAAGGTGTTGCCAGGCTGTTGCTATGGTATCCCAGGTGGTTGCTAAGGTGTTACAAGGCCGTGGCTATGGTATCCCAGGAGGTTGCTAAGGTGTTGCCAGGCCGTGCCTATGGTATCCCAGAGGTTGCTAAGGTGTTGCCAGGCTGTTGCTATGGTATCCCAGGAGGTTGCTAAGGTGTTGCCAGGCTGTTGCTATGGTATCCCAGGTGGTTGCTAAGGTGTTGCCAGGCTGTTGCTATGGTATCCCAGGTGGTTGCTAAGGTGTTACAAGGCCGTGGCTATGGTATCCCAGGAGGTTGCTAAGGTGTTGCCAGGCTGTTGCTATGGTATCCCAGGTGGTTGCTAAGGTGTTACAAGGCCGTGGCTATGGTATCCCAGGAGGTTGCTAAGGTGTTGCCAGGCTGTTGCTATGGTATCCCAGGAGGTTGCTAAGGTGTTGCCAGGCTGTTGCTATGGCATCCCAGGTGGCTGCTATGATGCGATACCATAGCCACGGCCTGGTAACCATTCTTTTCCTTAAGGGAGAGGAATCTACGTTTGAATGAACACTGTATGTAAGCCATTCGTCCAGTCGGTTCACAAGCGCACCAATTCCCGTAAAGGCTCTAAGTTTGTTGGTTTGACCTGTAAAAATGGTACAAAAAACGTAGAAGAATGAAACGAAGAACAGCAGGTTGGCTTTTTTAAGCTAACTTTAAAAATCTGGAGAACATTAAAAATTTTAATATTTAAGCATTTAAACACTGATCTCAGTTCAGAAGTAAAGAGTAAAGATGAAGCAGGTTTGAAGGTGGTTAGGGTTGCTGAACCTGCTCACGTTCTGTTTGGACGTGTTCCTGTAAAGTTCTGTAAATGCAAATGTGAGTCTTACATGCAAAAAGCTCTTTGGTGAAACGATGGCTGAGTTTTTTCTTGGCAAAAACAAAGAAACTGTCGGCTGCCAAACCACAGAGATGTGCCAGAGTAGACTGTTCTGCTGGATATTTGCATATAAACCATGTGTGGGTTTGTTTTAGATCATTATCTTTATGCATCTTCCACCCAGTGAGTTACGGAAATCTGACACATGGTGATATATGGATTTGATATATATGACATATTAACATACATTACATATGACATATATTAGCATATACGAGCTTCCCTTATATCCAACTTAGATGTTGTCATGTGTGGACATTTATATTACATATTTGTCAACTTATTTGACATTGGCCGTTTTCAAATATGGGGCATATATTTCAGCCATATATCAGTATACACAGATATGTGTTTCTTTTTAAAAAAATATATATATAAATTGTATATGGATGGAATGTATTACTCATATGTTAGCTGCATGTTATTCACATTTTGTTTTCTATCTCAGTTTGAGAGAGTATATGTATGATCCATATTCTATGCATGCATGTGCAATATGTGAAACTTACATGTACGCACAGTAATATAAGACCATATATTTTGAAATATATACCTAATCCTATATTAAATATGCATGCATGTCCACATATCAGATTTCTGTATGGACTGAGGCATCTTAAAGAAGTTTCACTGTGCTGTAAAACTGGAACGTTGCCAGTGGCTTTCTCGGTTTAAGGGTGAAAAGATCCTATTCATAATTTAGAGCCTTCACTGACTCCTCTTCATGTTGAGAACTGTCCCTCATGCTTGAGGTATTTAGAACCTGAAGGTAAAAGCCTGCAGAATGAGGGATGGAACTGTGTATCAAGTGCACAGAGATGCAGGTGATAGCCTGAGAAAGAAGCAACTACTGTCAATCATTCTGTCATTAAAGCCAGCCTGAAAGCTTGACCTCATACAAAAACCATGGTAGAGATTCTGAAGCGTCAGCATGTTTCATAACATGCAAATGTGATGTGCCCCTGGGAAACCTCCCGGTTCTGAAGGTGGACGAGCAGACCAGAGTATAAAAGCAGGCTGAGTCTGTCCTCCTCACTCACTCTCATCAGAGCAGAGTAAAGCAGAAAGCCTCCATCAAACATGGCCACCACCTTCTCTGCCCGCAGCAGCTTCGTCTCTGGAGGTTCCTTCGCTGGAGGAGCTGGAGGAGCCTCCCGCATGTCCCTGTCTGCTGGAGGGGGAAGCCGCGTCAGCGCCATGAGGTCCGGAAGCGTCTACGGAGGAGCTGGAGGCTCTGGAGTTCGCATCTCCCAGGCTTCGCGCTCTGCGTCCCTGGGCAGCTCCGCTGGAGGCTTTGGCTTCAGCTCTGGTGGAGGCTTCGGTGCAGGTTTTGGTGGAGGTTTTGGTGGTGGTGCTGGTGCTGGTTTTGGCGCTGGAGCCGCTGGCGCAGCAGACGGCAGCATCCTCGGCAACGAGAAGTTCACCATGCAGAACCTCAACGACCGTCTGGCCTCCTACCTGGAGAAGGTGCGCTCCCTGGAGAAGGCCAACGCTGAGCTGGAGCTGAAGATCCGCCAGTTCCTGGAGAGCAGAACCTCACCTGCTGCACGAGACCAGACGGCCTTCTTGGGGACCATCTCAGAGCTGCAGGCTAAAGTAAAGCAACTCAAGTTCACATTGGGGAAAAATCAGTTTTGCTATCATTTTGCATTTGCATTCTTATAATTAACAATATATGCAAATTTAAAACTAGCAATTTAGCATATGCATTCACATAAGTAGCAATGTAGCACATGCACTCTTATAATTAGCATATGCATTCTTATAATTAGCATATTTAGCAAACGCAGCCCTATAAATAACAATTGTCCACATGCATTCATATTGTAAGTAGCAAATTAGCATATGCAACCTTACAATTAGCAATTTAACATATGCATTCTCATTGTTAGCAGTTTAGCATATCGTTGCTAAACATATCTCCATTTTTATTTGTCTACAGTATTTGAGCCCAGCAGCTGTCCTTTACACCTCTAAACATTTCATGAGTGAATTCATCAAAATGCTCCAAAATCACTTTTATGAAAATTTACTAGTTTAGACCATAACACTATTTGGATGGTCCACTGAAGATGCTTTGTAGATGTTCAGTCTGTCTTTAAATAACATTCAGCTAAACATCGGTTTAATGCAACTGAACTTGAAGTTGAGTGTAAATAATTCTATTAAATCAACCCTAAACCTACAGCTGCTAATAGTGTGACCATTTTTAGTGATGCATCTACAGCAACACTGGATTTGCAATTGTTTAATGTTCTAGATTTGGAAACGTAGAGTTTCTCTGACCAGTTTGACCGTTATCTCATGTACTGTGGTCAGGTACAGTGTCTATTCCTGTCTTTTTTACTTTCTGTTGATGTTCTCAGATCCTGGACGCCATTCAGCTGAAGGGCACCGTCCACCTCAGCATTGACAACGCCAGCCTGGCAGCAGACGACTTCAGGACCAAGTGAGAGTTTAGACACTTCTCATCTCTGAAAAGCTCTGACTTATGATTTCTTTTACAGTACATTCAGTTCTAGTGTAACCATCCATGACAAGACTAAACAAAGTAAAACAGAACTAAACAAGAAACAGCAACAGTGTATATAGACAACGCAAGACAAAGGGACTGAAGAAACACAGGGGTACAAATACTAACAGAAAACGAGAAACACCTGAGACCAATGAGAGGGCGGGGCTAGGAGACAAAGAACAGGTGAAGACAGGGCAGGACAGGGGAGGAGCCAACATGACAACAAAAGCACATGTCACAGGAAAACAAAGGCACATGGCAGATATACAAAACACACGGCACTGGGAAACCAAGAAAAAGGCAACCACAGAGAGACCAGGACAAAGAGTGAACAGATGTTACATCTAGATATTAAGAGGGCGAGCGTGTAGTAGAAACAACAGAGTACTAGATAATTAAACTAGGTGACGTGATGGTGAATTCCACATCAGTTTAACTAAATTATGAAACAATGTCTAACAGGTTCTACACTGCAAAAAAATCTTAAATGTAGTTAAAATATCTAATATTTTTCGTGATAGACTGTTCTAAGAATATTATGAGAGTATTTAACTTCCTTCTAGACATTTTTACTTGTTTTGACTGATCTTATCTAGTGAAAGTGAAAGTGTCTTTTTCCAGTGGCAGATCAGTTTACTTGTTTCAGGAAATAACACTTAAAACATGTAAAATGTTCTGCCAATGGAATAAAACACTTTCAGTGGATTAAAACCATCTAAAACAGTAAAAATATCTACAAAAAAGGTTAAAATTTTTACAATATTCTTACAAAAACCTCACAATGAGAGATTTTAGATATATTAACTACATTTAAGATGTTTTCACTCAGTAAGAAATTGTTTTTTTGCAGTAAATCAGGAGGCACTTAAAAAGATGGTTCTTCAAGGGTTCTTTGATAGACAATAGTTCTGTATAGAAACTATACAATGTGTTGTTATGGTTCTATAAAGAACATTTTTTGAAAATGGTTCTATATAGCACCAAAAAGCGTTGGCATTGTCACAACAGTAGCCATATACAACACATTCTTCATCAACCTGAAGAGCCATTTCACCATGCAGAGAACCATTTAAGCATGCAAATGGTTCTGTGAATGTTCGTGGTTACATATAGAACCAATATCCTTACTAAAGAACCCTTGAAGAACCATCTGTTTAACAGTGTAAAGGAATGTTTTGGAATGTGAAACTAGAACCACACTGTCAGCTCACTGAGAGAAGAGAATGAGCAGAACGTGTCTTCATTCAGGTATGAGAACGAGCTGGCCATGCGCCAGTCTGTGGAGGCCGATATCGCTGGACTGAAGAGGGTTCTAGACGAGCTGAACATGACCAAAAAAGACCTAACCCTGCAGATCGAGGCCCTGAAGGAGGAGCTGGTCTTCCTGAAGAAGAACCATGAGGAGGTGATAAATCATTCCAAGCGAGGTGCTAAAGACTCCTCTGTGTCATAAAAAGCACAATTCATAGAGTTCCTGCTTGTGTTATGTTGGTAGAACTTAGATCTAGAACCTAGTTAGCTCTTTTGAAAAACCAAAGTAAAGAAACGTGTACAGACGTAATCTAGACATGCTCCAGGTTTCTATGGGTGTATGAGGGTGTATATGCACTGACCAGTGAGCGAGCAGGTCCAGAGACAGTACTCATCTCCATCGTCCTCCAGGAGCTGGTGTCCATGCGCACTCAGATGAGCGGACAGATCCACGTGGAGGTCGATGCGGCACCACAGGAAGATCTGACCAAAGTTCTGGAGGAAATCCGTGAGCACTACGAGGCGGTCGCTGCCAAGAGCCAGAGGGACCTGCAGGGATGGTTCCAGGCCAAGGTTGGTTCCTCCAAACCGTTCAGTCTGCTAACTGAACAGGCATAAAGATGTTCATCAATAAGTGGCTACACAGAGTTAAGCACTTTTATTTGAGTATTAATTATAAATCAAAATCTGTATTATTTAGTATGTGTGTGATTAGACTGATTAGACGCAGTCTAACAGATTAGATATTGACTAGAAGCTGTTAATAAGTGCGGTTCTTGGTAAAATAAGGCTTATAAGGCAGACACCTACAGAGCCCCTGAAGGTATATGGTGTATTTTTTTTCAGGTAAAAATCTGGAGCACACCAGATACAATGTGTATCTTCTACACACCTGAGCACTGTGGGCTCACCATATAATATCTGGTGCTAATCTGATAGGATCTGGTACTCACCACATAGTATCTGGTGCTAAGCTGATAGTATCTGATGTGCACCTTTTTGGCTTTGGGTACTCATCTCATAGTAACTGGTGCTAAACTGATGCTGTTTAGTGCACACCTGATAGTAACTGGTGCTCATCACATAGTATCTGGTGTGCGCCACATAGTAACTTAGGCTAACCTGATAGTATCCGATGAATCAGTTAACCACCAGCTCAGACCACCTCGGTCCTCCTGACTCTCTCTGTTTTCCTGCCAGTCGGAGACCCTGAAGCAGGAAGTTGCCACCAGCACAGAAACGCTGCAGACCTCCAAGACAGAGGTGAACACGGTGAAGAGCTCAGTGCAGTCTCTGGAGATCGAGCTCCAGTCTCTGTTAGCCATGGTGAGACCACAGAACCGCTCCGTTACACACTTATCGTCCACTCTGTAACGTTTACGGTGACGTTTAACCAAATTCCTGCTCCTGGTCACAGAAAGCGTCCATGGAGAGCACGTTGGCCGAGACTCAGACGCGCTACTCCATGCAGCTGTCAGGCTACCAAGCGCAGGTGAGGCTTGAAGAACGTCTCTTCTACTTCATACAAGAACATTTGAGGCTTGTTGGTTCCTTTGGGACTTAACGTGTGTGTGCTGGCCTTCAGGTGAGCAGTCTGGAGGACCAGCTGGTGCAGCTCCGCGCTGATCTGGAGCGCCAGGGTCAGGAGTACCAGATGCTGCTGGACATCAAGTCCAGACTGGAGTTGGAGATCACAGAGTACAGGAGGCTGCTGGACGCAGAAGCCAGTGGCAGGTACAGATAACCTGTAAAATATAACTATAATCCACATAGAATAGATTTTATATTTAATCATATAATTAATTAGAGTAGTGATTGTGCAGCTGAGATGTTGCTAGGTGGTCGCTATGGCGTGTCAGATGGTTGCTAGAGTGGTATAAAGCAGTTGCTATGGTATCCCAGATAGTTGCTAGGGTGTTGGTATGCAGTTGCTATGGTATCCCAGGTGGTTGCTGGTGGTTACTATGATATTTTACATGGTCAGTAGGGTGTTACTAATGGACTTCAATCGTTGTTATATAAGCTGACTTAACCCCATTCATTCCTGTGGGGAAAAAAAAATGATCCAAAGTTTCCAGTCAAAAAACTGTATTCAAACCCGCCATTCCCAATCAGTCCAGACATTCCAGAGCTGGAATGGTGTAGATATCTCGAAAACTGCAGCATGAGTCAGCGGATAAAAATCTGACAGAAAAACAAGACCGAGAAGAAGAAGAAGATTATATCATCAGATGACAGTAGTGCTTTACAATCACTAACTAGGATTAATATTATTATTATTATATCATCTTCAGAGAAAATCTACAGTAAAAGTAACGAGACGTGTCTGTTGCATTTCACCTTTTTCTGACTGCATTTCAATTCGGCTCAAATTCCTCTCCAGACAGTTAAACTCTTATTTTATTGTTGCATTTTTGATTAGAAACAGGTAAAATACTGAAAACATCCCATTACAAAGCTATCCAATCAGGATTGTTCTCTCTCTGTGGTATCTAGGTAAATACAGCTGAGCTGCTCTCCCATTGGTTAGGACTTCAGGAGAAGAGACAGAAAAATCAGCCACAGGCACAGAGCAAAGAATCACTAACAATAATAGACTTTATTGAATTTACTGTATTTATTAACTCTTATTAAACACAGCTGCATATCCAGTTTGGGCCACTTTCATACATGGTGCTGAAATCTGATATATCTAAAATGTAGCAAATCAACCACAACTCAAAATTCATCATCATTTCACACAGGTGAATCTGAATCAGCCACTTAAGGAAATCCATCACATATTAAAGGAAAAAGTCAGATTTGGGCCACTTTTGCGTGCAGTGTGAACGCAGCCCAGTAATCCAGATCTGTTATACTGGGATTTTTCCAGAACCCTAATCAGAGGTTCCACAGCCTAAAGTCAACATTACAGTAACAGTGTAGAGAACCTAACCAAAGCATGTTCTCTGTGTTCCTCCAGCGCCTCCATCTCCTCCAGCACCAGCTCCACTACCAAAGCGGCCGTGATCACGGTGGTGGAAGAGGTGGTGGACGGGAAGGTGGTCTCCTCCTCCTCCTCCACAACAACATCTATCACTCGCAAGTGAAGCTCCTCCGACCTGCACTTCAAAAACCAAACCCGCCAACGAGCGAGTCACAAATAAAGCTTTCCTTCAGTGACAATATAACTGTGTACCTGTGTTCTTTACTGCACTGCAGGGGTCTTTCATTCCTGAAAGACAAACGGAAATAAAAGAAAACATCTTTAAATAAAGGTCTTCAAATAAAGTAAGACATGCTCAAGTAAAATAAAGGCATCTTTACATAAAACAAAACATCTGTAAATAAATGTAGACAGTTTTAAATAAACACAGACATCTTTAAATAAAACCTGACAGTTTTAAATAAACAAGACATCTTTAAGTAAAACAAGACATCTTTGAATAAAAGTGATGGTTTTAAAAAATTGAGAATCATCTTTCAATAAAAAAATCATAGGAAAAAGAAAAGACTGCCCCCTGCTGGAGAACTACTGCTCTTTCTGTGGAAAGACGCAAGCAACAAAAAAGGTCCTGCAAAATAAAGAAGCTTGCAAGCTAAATGCTAAAGATCGTTTGCAAATCATTATGGTAGTCAGAGTTTTCTGAGGCTGCAAAGCCACAACAAACAAAGTCGTCATGAAGAATCGACCCATCATGGATTTTACTGTTAATGTACTTAATGTTTCACCAGGACTCAGATTATCTGATAGTTTCTGATTCTGTGCTAGAAGCTATCAAGAATGGCCTTCATTACCAGCATGCTAGCTACCCGTTCAGCTGTGTGGCTGCTTATGTTATGCATATGGCCAAGTCGTGTGGTCATTCTGTAGTCAGTGCTCTTCTGCCCATATTAGGAACTCCGGGTCTAAAAGGAATTCCTCTCTGAGAAGAATGAATGGAGTTTTCTACAGTTGCCTCTGTTGTAGCAAAGTTGATACATTTGGTCCCGTAAACGTTCTTCTCTCTAATATCACTGGATCCTCTGAATTATGAGGTCATTATGAGTGGAAATATGAATATTGCTACATGTAAGCTAAAGCTACTGCACACTGAATGGACCTCATTAGACTGCCAGCCTCCTTAAAAACCACGCTAACCAGCCCTCAGTCTACACTGCTCAGCATGAAAAGTGGTCATCCTAGAAGAAGCTGACAAACCACAAAGAGATATGAACGCCATCAAGTGAGCATGTGCATATCATTATCACAGCGCAGTAACTCAGGTTTTTAAACATTTTATTACATTTTTAATGTTAATTTATTACGGACTCAGCTTAAAATAACTTCTTATACTATGAAAAAGCTGATTTAGGCTCTCAAAATGTCCTAATTATTCCTTTAATGCAGTTAACATTTTCTTAGAAGGACATTCACCAGCTTCCTGTTCAGATTCTCCCATTCCACCTGAAAAGGCGCAGGAGTTACATTCTGGTTCCTGAGGCTTTATAAGAAGCTGCACCACTTAAGGTGGGAAAAAAAACAGTATTTCTGATGCACTTCTATTAGATCTGTGTGCTTTTTAACACAGTAAAGAAAAAGCAGGACTGTATTCTCCGGATCTCCATGCTGTCTTTTTCCGTGTGGTGGGCAAATCTATGAACGAGCACCCAAATGGAGTTTAGTCAAATTTACTAGTTAAACATCTGATATAAACAACCTTCCAATGAGAACCTGAACGCATAGCTTAGTGACGTACGCACAGCAGCTTTAGCTTCCATGTAGCAATATTAGTATTAAGACTCTTTAACGACCTTGTAATTCAGAGGATTCAGTGATATTCGAGACAAAATGTACACAGGATACACATCAGATACACATCAGATACACATCAGATACACATCAGTTCCTACACATTTTATTTATCACACAGTCTGATAGAGGCGATTTTTAGAAAACCCCTTAAAGAAATCAAGCTCTGACCAGGAGTTCCTAATATGGGCATAACATGAACTCTAGAAACTATAGAAACACTCAAAACTGTCTCGCTCGTGTCTGTCATACTAATGTTTAAGTGATATATATATATATATATATATATATATATATATATATATATATATATATATATGTAGTCACACATAGGCTACATGCATTTAAAAAGCAGCATTTGAACAGGCCTGTCAAAGTCATTTTTATTTATTAAAGGCACAACATGTGAAGGACATTCATATACTGAAATGCTTGTGGTGTAGAAATATTCCACAACTGTACAAACAATATATTTACAAAATCTTGATTAATAAAAATAGGTGTAGCTGCAATATACATTTTGTGGAAAATGGGTAAATGTTCATGTGAACAATGACGAACATATAGAATAGAAATGAACGTTGCTGTGGTCATGCAGAGAGAGGGGATTCGACCCATAGACCGTATATACGATTCCACCACAATGAAGAAACAAATGATGCTGAATATACTTGACTTAGTTTTTACAAGATGAGGTTTTAATGAGATTTTCAACTGAAACTGAAAGCAGAACATTAGAACCTGGTGTTACTGTTTCTGTAAACAGTGTCTCAGTTATGGTTACAGTGCCTGATTTACTCGTGGTGGTTGTCTTGTTTGCAGAACTCCAGCTTCAGTCATTCTGACCTCGAGGGAGATCATTTGCTCTGTGCATTATTGATAAATTCTCTCAATATTTTATATCATCAATAAAATCATATTCCATAAATAAAGTGTGTTTGTGTTTTATTTTGATATTCTTTAACGAGGCTTAGTTGTTTATGTATTCAAAGATACACTCTTTTCCCCTATTCAGACAGGATTAGTTTTCCACTAATGAGGTGGGTATTGCTAGTTTACCTCAGGATGTCTAATGTTTATCAGACTTTCTCTTTATTTTCCACATCAGTCAAAACTTTGGAAGTTTTCTTAAAGCCATTTTGATCTTAAAGGCTTCTGCTTAGAAGTTTCAAAGTTGTTTCTAAGACAAATAAAACTATTAAAATTAACACCATGTAAGAATGTAATATTTAGATTTTAACCAATATGGTTTTTTAAACAAGTATTTTTCATTTAGGACTTGAGTGCAGAAATGTAGAGTTGGAACCACGATTACTATATTGTGCAATAGGTTTCTCAGGTGATGGCCTGAGGCCTGAGAAAGAAGCAGCTACTGTCAATCATTCTGTCATTAAAGCCAGCCTGAAAGCTTGACCTCATACAAAAACCATGGGAGATGGTAGAACTTCTGAAGCGTCAGCATGTTTCATAACATGCAAATGTGATGTGCCCCTGGGAAACCTCCCGGTTCTGAAGGTGGACGAGCAGACCAGAGTATAAAAGCAGGCCGAGTCTGTCCTCCTCACTCACTCTCATCAGAGCAGAGTAAAGCAGAAAGCCTCCATCAAACATGGCCACCACCTTCTCTGCCCGCAGAAGCTTCGTCTCTGGCGGTTCTGGTTCCTTCGCTGGAGGAGCTGGAGGAGCCTCCCGCATGTCCCTGTCTGCTGGAGGGGGAAGCCGCGTCAGCGCCATGAGGTCCGGAAGCGTCTACGGAGGAGCTGGAGGCTCTGGAGTTCGCATCTCCCAGGCTTCGCGCTCTGCGTCCCTGGGCAGCTCCGCTGGAGGCTTTGGCTTCAGCTCTGGTGGAGGCTTCGGTGCAGGTTTTGGTGGAGGTTTTGGTGGTGGTGCTGGTGCTGGTTTTGGCGCTGGAGCCGCTGGCGCAGCGGACGGCAGCATCCTCGGCAACGAGAAGTTCACCATGCAGAACCTCAACGACCGTCTGGCCTCCTACCTGGAGAAGGTGCGCTCCCTGGAGAAGGCCAACGCTGAGCTGGAGCTGAAGATCCGCCAGTTCCTGGAGAGCAGAACCTCACCTGCTGCACGAGACCAGACGGCCTTCTTGGGGACCATCTCAGAGCTGCAGGCTAAAGTAAAGCAACTCAAGTTCACATTGGGGAAAAATCAGTTTTGCTATCATTTTGCATTTGCATTCTTATAATTAACAATATATGCAAATTTAAAACTATATATACATATATATATATATATATATATATATATATATATATATACTATACATATAACAAGCAATGTAGCACATGCACTCTTATAATTAGCATATTTAGCAAACGCAGCCCTGTAACTAACACTTTCCAACATGCATTTATATTGTAACCAGCAAATTAGCATATGCAACCCTATATCTAGCAATTTAACATATTCAATCTCATTATTAGCAATTTAGCATATTGTCGTTAAACATATCTCCATTTTTTGTCGATCTTTAGTTTCCTCCAATATTTGAGCCCAGCAGCTGTCCTTTACACTGTCGAAACTTACATGATGAGTGAATTCATCAAAATGCTCCAAAATCACTTGGACTAAAACCTTTTTATATCAATTCACATTAAAGGTTAAGGAGGTTTTTGCCCTCTTATGAAAACGTACTGGTTTAGAACGTAACACTATTTGGATGATCCACTGTAGATGCTTAGTCTGTGTTTAACTAACATTCAGCTAAACATCTGTTTAATGCAACTGAACTTGAAGATGTCGAGTGTCACCTTGAAGTTTATTTATAATTTAAGTACCTGTGGATCATCTAAAGGGACACTGTGACTGTTTAGTAATACATACGCTTTTGGGAAACACAGCCCAGGACTTGTTGAGTGTTTCTCAGATGGAGGTCAGATCCCTGAATATAAACCGTTACGTCTGAACGTTGTTAAACTCTTAGTGATGCATCTACAGCAACACTGGATTTGCAGTTGTTCAATGTTCTAGATTTGGAAACATAGAGTTTCTCTGACCAGTTTGACCGTTATGTCTGTACTGTGGTCAGATACAGTGTCTATTCCTGTCTTATTTACTTTCTGTTGATGTTCTCAGATCCTGGACGCCATCCAGCTGAAGGGCACCGTCCACCTCAGCATTGACAACGCCAGCCTGGCAGCAGATGACTTCAGGACCAAGTGAGAGTTTAGACACTTCTCATCTCTGAAAAGCTCTGACTTACATGATTTACATTTGAGGAAGAGAACAGTGATGACTAGTTTTGGAGTACTGTAAGTTCTAGATATTAAGAGGGTACGTACGTAGTTGAAACAACAGAGTACTAGATAATTGAACTAGGTAAAATGATGGTGAATTCCAAAACAGCTTAGCTAAATTATGCAATGTCTAACAGGTTCTGTG